GTGATCCTCCTGCCTCAGCCTCTCGAGTGATGGGACTACAGGTCTGCACCACCATGCCCTGCTATGAAACTTCATTCTATGGTAAAACAGGGTTAGATCATTTTCCTGGAGCCTGCTCAAATTCCTGACCTTCAAACTGATGATCAGAGCAAAATATTTTTTGTTTTAAGCCATCACATTCAGAGACAATTTGTTATGCAGCAATAGGAGACTAGAAGGGGGCATTTCTGTTTGATGGAGCATTTCGAGGATGGTCTCCTCATTAAAGAGTTACCTGGGCACTCCAGTCCACACAGCTGTTTCTGTGGGTTTGGCCAGTGTAAGTCTGTCCCCAGTAAATTGCCCATGCCGAATGTGCTGGAAAAATGTCTTCTGCACTAGAAACACTGAGGTCTAAGGGCCAGGCTGGACCAATCCCTCAGTGTCTCAACTTCCCTCTATTTTAGGTCAAATAAACCAGATGGGGCAGGTGAGAAAACACATATCACAAAAATGTTCATGCCAGAAGTAGCCACTGCTCATCATCACTCTTGGCCAGCCCTGTGCCTGGCTCTGGGAACAGTGGAAAGACTTGAGCCCAACCCTTGGAATTTCAGAGCCTAGTCTCTGTGTCACATAAGGCCATGATGAATGACATGCAAAGTGACAAATATGTGCATGAAGCCACAGGAGGGAGCCCCCGCCCCAGGTACGCCATATAAGAATGATAGTGTTATGGTGTGTTCGGATGCCTCCCACCAAGCCTCATGGAAACATGAATGAGGCTGAATCCAGCATTTGTGATTTGTTCATTGTGTTTTGTATAAAGGATGTGCATGTGTCTTTAGGGGACCAGGGTGGAATGTTACGGTTTGTGTTCATTTGGCCCCCCCAAGCCCCATGTAAACATGGACGTGGCTGAATCCAGCATTCATGATTAGTTCATTGTCTAGCAATGGATTGGTGGTGTGAGTGCTACACCCACTCAGGGGCAGAGTCTACTATCTAAGACAGAATTTAGTACCAGAGGAGTGGGGTTGTTGCTGTGACCGTTCCTGACCGTGTGGTTCAAGAGCCTTTGGGAGTGGTTTGTAGGAAGAGTTTGGAAAGGTTAGGAGATATTGCCTGAATACATAGAGCTGGAACGGTTTAGGCTGTTCTGTAGGGGAGAGTCTGGTCATAACTGAGGAGACCAGAAGGCTGATAGAAAGCCTTCCAGTAAAGACCAGGCTCAGGCGGTTTCTGCTGGGAAGAAGGACTGCATTGGTTGTTGGACTCCACACGATGTGTGTTATGGCTTGCCAGAAAGTTTGTCTGCAGTTTGCTTCTGTCCAAGAGACTTTGCCTGAGACTGAGATTAAGGGCAATGGACTGATTAATCTGGCAAAAGAAATTTCAAGGCAGTCTTATGTTGAGGGAGTGGCATGGCTATTGTTGGGGGCTTTTAGCCAAATTTATGTTGTGAATCAAGAACAGAGCCCAGTGAGGTGATTTAAAATGTTGTGAGGTTGGCCAGAAAGTTGTGTACTACAGAGATAGAGCTGAGACATCGATTACTGAGAAGGAACAGAGAAATAAAAAGGATGGCCTGGGGGCATCCCAGGAAGAAGCTGGTCTGTATCCTTTGTATTCTCAAAACTGCAGAAGTGAAAGACTTTATTCAGAGGAGCAAGCTGCAGAGTGCCATGTTCCAGAGTGGTGACAGAGGTCACAGGAGGTTCCAAAATGGCAACAGCATAGAAAAGCTGGTGCTCACAATCAGGTTCAGAGTGCTCAGTGATCCAGGCACTTGATCCCTACAGTCAAGAGAAAGAAAAGCCTGGCTACTGCTCCAGCTGGCAGCTGACGTTGGCAGCATCCACATGGCACTGATTTTAGGCAAATGGGAATGCACGAATTCTGAGATAAAGGCAGCTTCCACCCCAAGTTCAGAAGGCCTGGAGGCCATGCAGTGTGCCCTTGAGAGGGCAATATGTGAAGCTGTGAGCATGAAGCCAAAGATGCAGTGGAGAATCCAGAAGTTTGGAAAAGCTAGGAACATGGATCATCCAAGGAAAGCTTCAAAGACTGAACAGAATGGGCTTAAGAGAGAAGTTGTGGGAGCAAAAACTCCTGGAAGTGCCATGGTGGTGGAGTCACTCAAGGCTTTTGGAGCTCACAACCAGATTGCTTCAGATGCTGAGCATGGAACTCCAAGACTTAATGTTTGCTCTGCTGGATGTTGGACTTGCTTTGGCTCCAGTACTTTGTATTTCCCTGTTCATAACTTTTGGTATGGTAATGTTTATCTTATGTCACTCACTGTATGTTGGAAGTATTTAATTTTATTTTCATTTGTACAGGGAGTTGCAGCTAAGGTTTGCCTTAGATCTCAGAGGAGACTTGGGACTTAGACTTTTCAACAATACTGAAACTGTTAGGACTTTGGCAAGTCTTAAAAATGGACCAAATGTCTTTTGCATAAAGGTTGTGCATGAGTCTTTGGGGGACTGGGGTGGAATGTTATGGTTTGTGTTTGGATGGCCCACCCAAGCCTCATGCAAACATGGATGTGGCTGAATCCAGCATTCATGATTGGTTCATTGTCTAGCACTGGGATTGGTGGTATGAATGCTACACTCACTCAGGGGTGGAGTCAACATACAATATAAGGGCACAGAAGAAGGCATGTCTTTCTCTCTGTGTGTGTGTGTGTGTGTGTGTGTGTGTGTGTGTGTGTGTGTGTTTCACTCTTGCTGTTCTGCAGAGACCATGAACGGTGGCCCCGCCATGCCACCCTGCCTTGGAGCCAGCTGAGTAGGGATTAAAACCTCCAAAATTGTAAGAAATAAACCCTCCCTTCTCTAATTTTGGGCATTAAGTATTTTGTCTCAACAATGAGAGAAAAGTAACTAAGACATACATATACTGTGTCATCATTCTCTAGGCCTACATGTTTGGAAGACAGCAATTTTACATGTATTTACACATAAATTGGACATATGTTTATATTTCATTTGTCTATCAATTTTCTTTTGCATTGAACACAGTGCCCAATGCATGCTATGCAACTGGCCTGCCACTGAGCTATATGCCCAGACCCTCCAGCACTCTTTTTTCTTTCTTTCTTTCTTTTTTTTTTTTTTGATACTGGGGATCAAACACAAGACCTTATGCTTGCCAGGCAGGTACTTATGCCACTGAGCTAAATCCCCAGCCCTCCCTCCAGCATTCTTAATTTTTATTAGGAAAGAGAAAGATAACTGGCATTTCCCTTAAGTGTTACAATGTTCCCTAAATTGATTTTATTATTTTTATATATGATAACACAGGAGAGCTTTGTGTGTGCAGGTGTTTTTTGTCATTGTTGCTTGTGTTTATTTGTGTCATGCTGGCCATCAAGCCCAGGGACTTGTGCATGCTAGTCAAGGCCTCCACAGCTGAGCAACAGCCCTAGCCCCATGGATTTGGGCAACTGAAGATGCAGAGGATTTGTCATTGGCTGAGCCCCCATCCATTCCATTCCTCCCCGGATCTAGTAGCTGCCTGATTTGGATGGGAGGGGCCCCAGCCCCAGTTTTAGAAGTGGATTAAAGATTGCTACAAATTGTCCAGAGTCTGCATGAGGCTAAGTTCATTGAACTATAATCTATCTTTCTCCTTGATATTGTGATATTGTGATGGGTTCAAGCAGAGGCAACTAAGCCAGGCCAAGCTGGTTAGTCCACTTCAATAAAAGACCAGAGCCAAGAAAACTGCAGAAAAACAAAACTGTAGCTTTGATAGCTTTATCAGTTTGGCTACAGTTCAAACAGGTTCTTATGCGGGAAACCTGGTTTCCACTGTAATGGTCGTAGAGATCTTTAAGAGGCAGAGCCTTGTGGGACGTGACCAGGTCATACTAGTCATAATAGTGTGATCATACACATGGGAGGCTTAATGCAAGTCTTTCGGGAATGGACTAGGTTTTTTCTTTATAATCAAGTTGCTATAAAAGAGGAAGCCTGGCCTCTTGCTTTATCTCTGACCATGTGACCTCTCTCTTTGCACACACCCACTATGCCTTCTGTTTTTGTCGTGTTATGACACAGGCAAAAGGCCCTACCCACACTGACACCACACAGTCTAGACCGTCCACCCACCAGAATCACAAGCCTCTTTTCTCTTTAAGTTACCCAGACTCAAATAATTTCACTGTAGCAACACAAAGTGGATTAAGACAGAAAACTATTACTGAGGAGTGGTGGTGGTGTTTATTAGGATACCTGACAATGAGAAAGTAGCTTTGCAACTGGGTAATTAGCAGCAATTAGAAGAGTTTGGAGGAACAGGAGAGGAAAGGTTTGCATTGCTGGCAATTCAGGTAAGGGCTCAGAAGACTAAGAAACTAGTAAAAGCTCAAATGCTGATGGAAATGCAGACAATAGAGGCCATGCAGACAAAGTGTCAAACAGAAATGAGGAATATCTTATTGGAAACTAAAGAATAAGCCATGCTTTTTAAGAAATAGCAAAGAAAAGAACTTAATTGCAACCATAGCCTAAGTCTCTGTGGAAAGCCAACTTTAACGGTGATGATTTGAGGTATCTGGTGAAATAAATTTCTAAGCAAAATACAGATGTGACTTTGGTGATTTTTAAACTTCATACAGTAACAGTCAGGAGCAATGGCAATGCATTTACTCTTTTTTTTTATTTAAAGAGAAAGAAACAAACAAAACAAAAAAACATGGAGAAAAAAAGAGTAGAAATAATATAGAATTACAGGAAAATAAACAGTAAGAAATCACCAGTTGATAAGTTGCATATTGTCATCTTAGAAAAAGGTTACAAAATTAAAGTATGTAAAGTGACATTCAAATAGTGACACTGCCAATAGTTCAGCTCAATGCAGAGTTTACTTTTAAAAACTTTATCTATTTATTGCCATGCTGGAGAGCAACCCAGGACCTTGCAAGTGTAATTAAGAAGAAAGCAGTGTAAAAGTCTGGAAAAGTCACAGTCTGTAAAGAGCCAAGGACAAGTGTTTAAGGGTGCAGCAGACTGGCCCTGCATCAAGACTGGCAGCTTCCTGATGCTGCTGGTTTCAAGCAGGAGCCTAAAGAGATGTCTTTCTAAGGTCTATTGGCCATTTCAGAACTTGAGCAGTGAAATGGTCAATTCTTTTTTTTTTTTTTTTAGTTCCTGATGCTGCTGGTTTCAAGCAGGAGCCTAAAGAGATGTCTTTCTAAGGTCTATTGGCCATTTCAGAACTTGAGCAGTGAAATGGTCAATTCTTTTTTTTTTTTTTTTTAGTTCCTGATGCTGCTGGTTTCAAGCAGGAGCCTAAAGAGATGTCTTTCTAAGGTCTATTGGCCATTTCAGAACTTGAGCAGTGAAATGGTCAATTCTTTTTTTTTTTTTTTTAGTATTTTTACCGGTACCAGGGATCGAACTCATGACTGCCTGCTTGCAAGGCAGGCGCTTATGCCGCTGAGCTAAATCCCCAGCCCTGAGATGGTCAATTCTTTAGAAAGAAAGAGCTTAAGGCAACCCCACTCCCCAACCCCCTCCCTGTGAGGGACTGTGAGCGTGGCAGGCTGCATCAGCCCAGGACGGGAGCCACAGGCATTTACTGGGACCCGAGCCATGCTGGGACCTGGAGTGCTGGGAAGCCAAGCAACCCCTCCCTCCCTGCCTGTTTTGTTTTGTTGAACTTCAGTATACATGAAAGTATGGACAGCTATTTTGAAGAGAGGGAGAGACTCTACAACAGCCATTAGTGACTTCCCTATTGTCTGGTTTTGAAGACCTAAAACGCCTTCCGCATTCTGTTCGGATTAGTTTTATACTATGTTGTTTTGTATGAATTCTCTGTATGAGAAGATATGGACAACTATTTGGAAGAAAACAAGAGACAATATGATGGATAGTGAAGATCTCAGGTCATCTAACTTTGAAATTTGTATCTCTTACATTGCTTTCTTATGTCTTATTTTGTTCTGTTTTGTTGTGTTTAATTTTACCCCTTTAAAATTTAAAAAAAAAGAAAAAAGAAAGAGGGTGCAGCAGAGCCACCACATGCTAAACAGCTTAACACAGATAAATGGGAGGTGAGTGCTGGGTATCCGGACACTGGGAGAGGCCCAGAGCACATCCTAGAAATCATCTAGGTCTTCCTTCTATCCTAGGCCTAGAGGCCTTGGAGGGCAGAATGGTTTCAAGGAGCTGCTCCCCATGCCCACCCCGCCACCACACCCCAAGCAGGAACTGCTGCACAGGACTACCTGAGGCCCTTACACTGTACCACCCAGCTGCTGCTCAAATGTGGTCTTGCTACAAAGGGTGCAAGCTGTAGGTCATGGCAGAATCCACAGGGTACCAATTCTTTAGGCACACAGAATCCAAGGATTATGGGGCATGGCATCTCCCACCAAGATTAAAAAAAAAAAAAAAAAAGCCTAGGTAGCCAGGTGTAAGTGTGGCATGGGGACAGAACTACTAGCATACTAGCATCTCTATTAAATGCCTAGTGGAGCCACAGCCAGGACCCAGAAGGGCAGAAGAACCAGTGGCATGCAACACCCTTCTGAGAAAGCTGCACAAAACCAGAGGGAGCTGTCACATGGGCCGCATCAGCAAAGCCAACGGGACAGGGCTGCCCTAGTTCTCAGCAGCCCAACCCCTGCTCCTATGTCCATGGTGGCAAGACTTGGAGTTTTCATTTCTGCCCTGCTGGGTTTCAGTCTTGCTGAGGGTCTGTGACTCCTTTTGTTATAGGCAGCTGAGTTAATTAGAGATATTATAGGCAATCAAACAGGGCGAGCCCCTTGAAGGAGCCAGTGCAGAAGACCAGATCTCAAGACAAAAGACAAAAACAAATGCAACCATGCCATAAGTGTAAACATCAGGGATATTCTAAATAGGTGTCCATCACCTTGAGGGAGCCAGAAGGAGCCACTAACCCAATCCCTTCCAGGAAATGGCCCTATTTCTGTATTCATGTCCATAGGCTACATGACTAGCTTTCCCATTGGATCCTAATTCAATCAATTTTATCACAGAAGTTAACACTCATAATCTTATTGGTTGACCATACTACTGTTCCCCCTCGTGCCTGCCTACCTTTTGAGTTCCCATTTTTCCCTACCTTGTATCCACCTCACCTATGGTTTTGCTCTATAAAAATCCCTAGAAAAGGGCTGGGAATATAGCTCAGGGGCCTAAGTGCCTGCCTGGCAAGTGCAAGATGGAGAGTTTGATTCCCGAGACCCAAAAATAAAATAAAATAAAATAAAATAAATCCCTAGAAAAGGCAGGGTCCTCAGCAACCCACTCGAGACCCCTTCTGTCTCAGAAGCCTTCTCTCTCTCTCTCTCTCTCTCTCTCTCTCTCTCTCTCTCTCTGTCTCTCTCTCTCTTTCAATAAATACATTCTGCTCTTAACCTGTTGTTCCTAAAATTCATTCTTCGATTTTAAAGAACACAAACAAGTACCAGGCATTTAGGACACTGGGAGTTTTTTCCCTTTTATCACTTTCTTTGGGCCCATTACTCCCCTTTGAAATAGGAATATTTATCCTATTATTACAGGCAACTGAGTTGGATAGAAGTATTTTAGGCAGTCAGACAGGGCTGGGCCCTCAGAAGGAGCAGCGCAAAAGCCCAGATATCTTGCAACTGTGGAGGAGGCACCTCCCTTTGTGGGTCAGATCTCAAGATAAGAGATCAAACAAATAAACCCCCATTCTAAGGGTAAACATCAGGGATGATATTCTAAATAGGTCTCTATCACCCTGAGGAAGCCAGAAGTCACTAACCCACTCCCTACAGGAAGAATGCTGCTCTATATGCACCCTGCTACGTGTGTGATTCACTTCATTTAATAATTTTTATCTGAGCAATTAAATCCTACCGCTTGGCCATAGCTCTATCCCACCTCATGACCACCTTGTGAGTTCCTATGTTTTCCCCTCCTTACACCCACCTCACCTTGTGGCTTTGCTCTATAAAATTCCTAGAAAAGATAGGGTCCTTGGCCACTCAATGGGGACTCCCTAGGCTGGGAGTTTTTGTCCCCTAGATCACTATCTCTGTCTTGCCATTGTGTCTTGGAAACAGATCATTTCGGTTTTGTTTTACAGAGTCCCAGCTTGGAGGCTGCCTTGAGTTTCAGATAAAACTTTGGTTTTTGGACTTTCGAGTTGGTGTTCAAACCATTTGAGACTTTTGGTACTGTTGGCATGGAATTACCACACTTTGAGGAGGACAGGAACTATGGGAGGTCCCAGGTAGAATGCTGTGGTTCAGATTAACAGCACCCCTTTAGAGCTTTATGTGATGCAAGGTTGGTCCCCAGTTTAACAGTATTGAAAGAAATGAGGCCTCCACGGAGTTTGAGTCAAGCCTGCCCGAGTGAAGAGATTAACGCTGGTCTCACAAAACACAGATTAGTGAGTTGTTAAAAAGTGCGAATCTGGTCCCTTCTCAGTCTCTTACATTGTCTCTGCCATGTAACCTCTCTGGAACACACTCCTGCTCAAAAACCTGTCAGTCAGGGCATAATTCAGAACCCAGCCAGAAGACCTGCTCCAGAGACTGCCAGAAAGGACTGATGGGGGGCTGGTGATTTAGCTCAGTGGCATAAGCACCTGCCTTGCAAGCAGGCAGTCGTGAGTTTGATCCGTGGCACCAAGCAGGCAGTCGTGAGTTTGATCCCTGGTGCCAATAAAAAGGAAAAAGACAAAAAAGAAAGAAAGAAAGAAAGAAAGGACTGATGGTCTCAGACTTTTCGCTTCTAAAACTGTCAGCTAAATGAAGCTCTTTCCTTATAAACTACCCAGTCTCAGGCATAGTACCTGTTACAGTAACCTAACACTGATTGAGGCAATCAAAGCAAATTAAGATAATTAGAGCAGATTACTCCTGAAGCATATTCAACTATTAGAGTTTTCTGTTCTATGAGCCAATAAAGCTGCTTTATCTTTTAGGCTGGTTTGAACAATGACCAAATGAATTCTTTCTGACGCTAAGCTAAGTGGGTCACTGAAACACATCCTCTTCCTCAGCAGTGCTGTTTCCTGGGTTTTACAGATGTACAAGATCTGTTCTTTATTAACGCACACCAGCCAAACATAGTAGGGAGATTAAATGAGTTTCCCATGGGAAAGCTCCGGTCCCTGTGCCCCATGATCTTGGAGGGTTGTCTTAAATTGCAGCCCTGGGCTCTCCTTAAAAAAAAAAAAAAAAATCACATTCCTGGCTTTCTTCTGATTCCTCTTCCTCCTCCTAAGGCCATCTTGATTTCTTCAGTACTGGCTGCTACAGAGCTAACCCACGGCAAATCTCCAGAGAAACCCTTGAACCTGCCCCAGAGCATTCACAATTCCAGAAGCCGAACCAAGTAGGGGACTCGACAGAACAGGTTTCTTGGTCTAGGGGCGGCTGGTCCACAGGGACAGATTTCTTAACCATCTGGCTGTACCTTGTGACCCATTTCCCCAACTCTTCAAAACTTGAACCAATAAGCCAGCCGGAAAGAGGTGGCCATCAGGGCAGGCACAGAGGATGGCGCCCTGGATGCTGTGAACTTTGCCCTCCAAACCTTCCAAGTCATTTTCTCCCTCATCCTCAGCGCCCAGCCAGGCTTTCTGCAGAGGATAGCTCAGATCTGCCTCTCCATCCAGGACTGTGCCACACCACAGTGGCTCCTTCTGCTTATGTCCCATGGTTTTGCTTTCACTTTCTGAGCAGTAGTATCTCCCCCTAATCTCAACTCCTGCTAGAAGAAATTTGCCTTGTAAATTGTTCAGAAGCCTCTGGGATCAACCTGGAGTTATTTTCTTTGGAACAAATCACTGCAGAACTGAACAGTGACTCCACATCCTTCTGACATTGTCTTCCCAAGACCGCTCCCTAGTTGCCCTCTTGACCTATACTCATGGGCTTGCGTATTTCCGTTTATTTATTTATTTTTATTTTTCGATACCGGGGATCGAACTCGGGACTTCACACTTGCCAGGCAGACGCTCCTGATTCTGATCTATACCCCCGGCCCTATTTCTCTTTATTTCAGTTCAAAGGGCTCAGCGTTTTGCACGTTCTCCCTGCAAACTTCCATCTTATGAGCGTAACTTCGGTGGGGTGAGTCCCCAGCTAAGTTCCAGAATCGTTCACTTTTATCCCAGCGTTCTGTGTCGTGGTGCCCACCCTCCCTGCCCAGGTCACAGATGCCCTCCCAGTTACCTGGAGGTCATGCAGGCGTAGGACATAACCCTGAGCAAACAGCTGGAAAAAGAAGCGCAGCTCCCCAATCCTGGGAAGCTCCTCCCAATTCCTCAGCGGCCGCTGGTCTTCAGGACCAGCTCCAGGTGCCACGGCCGCCTGGTCTGCGGGGAGGGCGGCAGGGATCGCGGCCTTGGCTCTGGCCCCGAGTGGGCAGAGGCCACGTCCGGCCACCCGCGTGCCCAGCAGCGCCCACCGCAGCCTCGCGCAGCCCAGCGCAGCCATGGTTCGCGCTGGCGGAGCCGCACCTCGGGATCCCGAGCTGGGACGCCTGGACGAGCCCGGGAGTTAAACAGAGGGGCGGGACCCAGACTGGGGATGACTCAGTGGGCGGGCGGAGAAAAGGTCGCCAGGCCTCTTTCCCGCTCTCTGGCCCCCCTTAGGCCTCCAAAACAGAACTCCGGACAGGCGGAGGCCACTTCTGGGCTGGAAGGGGCCAAGGCAGCAGGACCCAACGCGCGCTCCCGCGGGCGCGGACGGAAACTGCGCTCGCGCTGTCCCGGGACAGAAGCACGACTGTCGCTTTCCAAGACCCACGCCCCCCCCCACCCCCCGTGAGCCCCGCCGCGCGTAGCCTGCAGAGCGCGGTCTCCGAGGGCCCTGCAGCCCGCTGCTGAGGCTGTAGTGCGGGCTGGCCCTTCCTAGTGGTCGCCTGGAGTGATCCCAGAGTGATCCCAGAGTGACCCTGAGAGCGCCAAAACAGCCCGGCAGCCGCGGCCAGGAAGTTGTAATATGCAGTCCTCCCCACCCCGAGTGGCTGTTGCAGGATCTTTCAAAATGCAAGTTTTGCATTTTGCAAAATGCAAAATGCAAGGCCAAGTTTAATGGGTCATGACTGGAGGTTTTTGTTTTTGTTTTTCAGGCGGTGGTTTGTTTTGGCTCACAGTTTTGGAAATCTCGGTACTTGCCTAGTCAGCTGGTTCATATAATACAGTGAATAGAATACTGCCCATGAGTGTGCATGCTCGTTATCCCAGCAGTCAGGGGGGCTGAAGCAGGAGGATACAAATTCAAGCCAAGCCTGGCAACTCAGTGACTTACAGAGAGTGACCTTGTCTTTAAAAAGAGAGAGAGGAGGGCTGGGGATGTACGTCAGCAGAAGGCCCTGGTTCAATTCCCAGTCCCACAAAAACAAAACAATAATCAAAATAAAATGAATAGAAAAGAACAGAAAACTCATCACAAGAAAAAACTTTTAGGAACGTCCTGTTTTATATTTAACGGTTCCTCATACTGGGTCCAGCTGCCATGGTTTTCTAATGAAAACATGTACTTTAGCATAATGGTAGCCACTCTGCTTCTGGTAGCTGCACTGGGTCAATACGGAAAGCAATCTCTGTGTTTACTCACTTGATACGACAAATGACAAGGTGTACACAAGTGTGTCAAAGTGTAATGGGTGTTTTACCTACGTTGTGTGCAGTGGTACATTTTTGTGCATTTAGAATTTGCTTCATTAAATGCTTTCTTTTGATTTTTCTTGTAGATTGGCCCACTTTAGCCGGGTGTGGTGGTGCATACCTGTAAGCCCAGCACTCAGGAGACTGAGGCAGGAAGATTGCCTTGAGTTTGAGACCAGCCTGGGCCACGTAACTGAATTCAAGCCTATACTACATAGCCAGATCCTGTCTCAAAACAGACAGACAAAAAAAGATTGATAGTAAATCCTCAACACAAAGGAAGCCAGAAATGGTCACATTTTACAACACAATGAAATGCAGAGTAGACCCTGTTGACAAGTTGACAATGCATCAACTATGATGTCACTTAAAACACAAAGCCATGGCCAGTCGTTGTCTTTTACTGGATCCTAAACATGTAAGGTATAAATAGCTTCATCGTTTACAAAGAAAATAACAAGCACAAAATATCATGGGGAAGTTTTCCTAGAAGATTTGGACTGGAATTGACAAATGATCAGCTACAACAGAAGAAGAATGATATGTATCTGCTCAAGAACTCTACAAAAGAATTGTGGAGGGGACTGGTGAACAGGCAGGAGAAACATTGCAAAACGCCTAAGAAAACAGGAAGACCAGCAAGATGTCAAGCATGACCCACCAAAGAAGACAGGAAAACAAGGCACATGTGCAGGCAGTGTAAGTGACACTTATGTACAGAACATGCCGCTTGCACATTCCAAAACTGCCTTAGCTGTGATACTTGAAAAAAGATAGTTTTGTTTGTACTTTCACTGAAGTTCACATAGGAATTTATTTCTGCTGGGGTTTTTTTAGATCTTGTAAGCAGGTTGATGTTGAAAATGATGTTTATTCTATACATATTAAAAATTTAATATTTTACTTTATTGATATTTTATTATCCTGTTAAGTACACATTATTTAATATAATAAAACTCATAAAATTATGATTGATAATTCATCAGAAGAAATACTCCTAAAAAAGTAAACGTGGTTACTACAAACTCATGTAATGTACCTTTTCTAAAATTTGCTGTTACCCCCAGGGCTACAATATATATTCTTGTTTGTTTTTTTGTCTTTTTGAGAGAGGGTTTTGCTATGTACTTTAGGCTGGCCTTGCAAGTTACACCCCAACCTGGGGAACTCAGTGAGTTAATGAGACTGTCTTACAATAAAAAATAAAAAGGGGCGTGCAATGTAATTCAGCGTGAAGACCCTGGATTCAATTCCTGGTATAGCAAACAAAAAAAGGGCTAGGATATATCTCAGTGGTAAAATGCCCTTGAGTTCAATGCCTAGTACCTGAAGGAAAAAAAAAGACTGCTTCCAGATGCTTTCTTATTTTCTAATATGTGCATTGAATGCTATACCCTTCCATGTGATATTATTTTAGACACATCTGGCCGCATTTAATCATTGTTTCTCTTATCATTCATCCAGTTGGTAATTTTCATTTTGGCTGAATCAATAGTCATGTAGAAAGGCGATCTTATTTAAATAGAAATAGGCTGTTTGCCAACTTAATGTTGAATCTCAAACTTCTGGAAAAAGAAGAGAAGGCTAAGCCCAAAGCTCATACAAAGGAGGAAATTATAAAGACCAGAAAAATTAATGCATTGGAAACTTAAGAAAGTAATATAAAGAATCAATGAATCAAAGAGCTGGTTCTTCAAAAGGCTAAGTATAATTCACAACTGAACCAAGAAGATTTAAAAATACTAAATAAGGGGGCTGGGGATTTAGCTCAGCGGCATAAGCACCTGCCTTGCAAGCAGGCAGTCATGTGTTCAATCCTCGGTACCAATAAAAAGAAAAAAGAAAGAAAAAAATACTAAATAAATCAATATCAATCAATGAAGGACCTATCTCACAACATAGTTTTACTCTATAAAAGTCCCTAGAAAAGAGAGAGTTTTTGGCAACCCACTTGAGACCTCTTCTGCCTCTCAGACAGCTTTCTTTCTCTCAAACATATTCTGTTCTTTAAAAAAATAAATAAAAACCTACCAACAAAGAAAAGCTCAGGCTCTGATGTGTTCAGTGCTGAATTGTACAGGCAGTTTAGAGAAGATCTAAAACCACTACGTCTCAAAGTGTTTAATGAAATTGAAAGGAAAGAAACACTCCCAAATTCATTCCAGGAAGCAAGCATTACCATGATACCAAAATCAGAGAAGGACCCAACTAAGAAAGAGAAATACAGGCCAATCTCCCTAATGAATATAAATGCAAACATCCTCAATAAGATACTGCAAACAGAATGCAGGAAATCATGAAGCCATCCTAGTGACATGTGGTTCATACACAAATCAATAAATGTAATACAGCATATTAACAGAGCCAAAACCATACAGAAAAAGCTTTTGACAAAGTCAAGAAAATTTTGGAAACAAAATGTCCATCAGTGGATGAATAATTAACCCACACATTAGAATTATTTATAGCATTAAAAAAGAATGATATCATTCAGCCTCAAACATGTTGATATAAAACAACTTTAAGATAAGGAGTTTTTAATGATTTTTTTTCAGTCTTTTTAATTAATAATAAAAGACAAAATGAAACAAAAAATGAATAGAGGAAAATGATAAAGATCAGAAAACACAATCCCTTATCATCAACATGATTTTTCATATAGATTAACATTTTGATTCTTACATTTTTGTAAAAATAAAAAGGACTCAGAATAGTCTAAACAACTTTGATAAAGGAACAAAATTAGAGCTTCAATCTTTCCCAACCCCATAACTTATCACAAAGTTACACCAATCATGACAAAACAGCATTGATATCAAGATAAACAAACCACAAAAGTACCAGTATAAAGTCCCAAAATAGATTCCCACATAACAGACATTTGATTTCTGGCAAAGATGCAAGAGAAATTATGTGGAGAAAGAATTGTGCCCTTAATAAATATACTAGGTATTCACAAACAAAAAACCCCAAACTTTATAGTACATGAAAAATTTCTTAAAACATTCAAAAGTCAACTCCAAATGGCTCACAGTGGGTTAAAGTGAAGGCAGGTGTGGTCTGAGTCATTACTTGGCTGAAGTCATTCTCTCTGGGACAAAATACATTTTTTTATTTATCATACTAATGAAACTGTGATGATTATGCATGCATGACATATTTCACTAATAAGTATGTTTCAAGATGCATCCATTTACCTATAAAAATGTCATTTATCATTCTTTATGACTGCATTGTATAGAAATACCACATCTTTTTTACCACATTCCTCAGTCGATCTGCATTTTCCAAGATCTGGCTATTATAAACTGTACTTCTATAAACATGGGTGCACATGTATCGCTATGGTATGATATTTTTAATTCTTTTGGGAAGATACCCAGAAGGGGAAGAGCTGGGTCAAATCCTAGCAGGACCTCCAATCCTAGTTTTTTTAGGAATCTGCACTCTGATTTCCATGGGGGGGGGGTGAAATCTCAGTGTTGTTTTAATTTACATTTCTCGAATGATCAGTGCTGTTGAACATTTTTTCATGTATTTATTTGCTGTTTGTGTTTGTTCATCTGAGAAATGTGTATTCATCTCAGAGGCCATATTTGGTTTGGTTCTTTAAATCTGGGAAGCCCAATTTTTGTTTCTTTATATGTTCTTGATAGTGATCCTTTGTCTGAGGAATAGCTGGCAAACATTTTCTCCCACATTGTGGGTTGTTTCTTCACTCTGGTTTCTCTTATTGTGAAAATGTTTTTCAATGGGGTGAGATCCCAGTTGTTGATTCTTTATGATAGTTCTATGCAGTCAGGGTTTTATTCATAAAGTTTTTGCCTACATCAATGTCTTCAAGAGTTTTACCTACTCTATCTTCCAGCAGAGTTAATGTATCTGTTTTAATATTAAGAACTT